GGTGGGGGGGGGGGGCAGCAGGGGCAGATACAGGGCAGGACGAGTGGGGAGGTCGCCCCGGGCCCCGCGTTTCAAGAAGCCCCGTGCATGCGCCGGGGCACTACTGCGCATGCGCCGTGTCAAAGGGGGGACCCTGTAAAATTGTGCTGCCCTGGGCCCCGCAAAATGATCATCTGCCCCTGAGGAGCAGAGGGGAGAGCTGGGGAGAAGAAAAACAGGTTGAACCAGTATTACAGCTCATTCCTGGAGGCGATATAGTCTGCTGTTTCAGAGCTCTGCTCTCGGTCCCCCCTCCATCCAATCCACTTGAGTATGGAAGGGAAAGGCTTGTCCATCTGGGATTCTTTACAATGACAGTGTCCCTCCTACAAGCACTGGTGGTCATATTTTACAATTCCTACATTTAGGATTTAACATGGTTTGTGACTTCACAAAAGCCAAATCAGTCACAATAGGCAAAAAACCATTCTAACAATTGACCATCCATCAGGTCTATAGCACAGACTGAACTGGATTTTCATAAGCACACCAAGGATTTCTTTCACATTCCAGCATGAACTGTATTTATATAGCAACAGTTGAATACCTTATGGGGCTAAACAACTGAGTGAACATAACCCAGGATTCTATAAGCACACCCAGGATTCCTTTCCCCTTTCAGCTGGCTGTGCTGGAAGCATTGATTCAGACCCTGCTTACAGTAAAAATAAATTCTTTGTTTTTTTATTTGGGGTAGAAGTAACTGGGGAGCGACTGATGAAAAAATCTGGGAGAAGGGAGGCAGCGGAGGGGGGATGAGAACCTTTGGAAAGGAGAAGAGGGGTGAGGAGAGGCTCAGGGCTGGGGCTGGGATTGGCGCCTGGTGATCCTACTTCTATGTGTGCAGGGGGCTTCGGTGGTCCCAGAGGAAGTTGGGAGAGGAGCAGGAGCAGGTGATCAGAGAATGCTCCACCGTGCATGTGGCGCAGCCCTGCTTCAATATCTCCCACCAGGTGTCTCCCTGCAGTCTGCAGTCCAAAGTCTTCTCCATGGATGGGAGTGCTGTGAGGTGTTCCCTCTGGAATTCATCCATTAGTCTCCTGTGCATGAGGGTTACTTGGGGTTAGGAGACTGCCCCAGGTGGTGTCAACTGCCCCTCTTGCAGCTGTCTTGGCTGTGGAGAACAGAGAGATGGTCACTCATCCCAGGAGATACTGCCTGAAGCCTAGCCCTCATCTCTGAGCTGAGAGTGACAGTTCTTGGCTCAGACAAAGGCCTCGTGCTTGGAGCAAGGCCATGTGCACTCTAGCCAGTGGGCCCTTTCCTGCAGGGGCCCAGATGTCCAAGGAGGTAGCTGAGGACAAGCAGGTATGTGAAGGTGCCTGTATCCTGCGGGTGGGCAGGGGGGCTACAGGGCAGCTGGGCTTCCCTACGTGCTGTGCGCATGCCAGGTCTGGCAGTGGTGGCATCCTGCATGGAGGGAACATGTATCCTTGCCGGCTGGAAGACAGGGGGCAGGGAGTTTGTGCTGGGGGAGGTGTGTGTGAGTGGCAGATACTACTGCACCTTGTCACATTGTCCCCGGGAGTGGATGTTGCCCTGAGAATGCAGACATGCCCATGTGCGGGACTGCTGAGTGTGTGTGTCTCTGAGTCCTCAGCCTCCTTTTAGTGATGGCTTGTGGTGGGAGGGTGTCCCACTCCGGTGTCAGGAGTAAGGCAGGCCTCTCCAGATACTCTGTGGCAAATAGCACAAGGGTCCTCTGTTACAGCCTCCTGCGGCTGTGTGCCCTTGAGTCATGTTCCACATGCTTCCATATGCACAGGCTGCTCTGCGATCCCCACAAAGGCCAAGTGAGGAGCATCCCCCAGCCCCTCGCTGCCCATCACCCTCCACCCTGTGTGTGTACAAAACGTGATGGAACCACCTGGTGTGCCTTCCCCAGCCTCAGATGATGCCAAGGACACATCCAGGGTGTAGGGTACCGGCCACAGGGTAAAGAGAGTGACAGTGCTGGCCTCATCTGGCTCCTCTTCTTGCTCCTCCTCCTCATTGATTCCGTCTCCTGGGAGGACGATGATGGGTGTTTTGAGCCCTGAGTCCACTGCCAGGGTGTGGGAGGGAGAGACTACCCTGCCCCTTAGGATGCAGTGCAGGTCTAAATAGTAGGGCCAGGTGTGGAGTTCTGCCCCTGAGTGGGAGCTGTGCTCCTGGGCCCCAGCATATACCTGGTGGAGCTCCTTAATTTACATCTGCACCTGCTCCTGGGAGCAGATGTGCCCCTTTGTGGCCAGGCTGTCGAACATGCAGCCATAGACATTACCATTCCTGTGTTTGTTGTGGAGATGCTGGAGGTTGGTCTTGCCACCCCAAACCTTAGTAAGATCCAGGATCTCTGCACCAAACCAGGAAAGTGCACATCTCTTGCATTCCCAAGCAGGAACTTGCATTCCCTGGGAGCAGTGGAGGAATAGGTGGAAGTAACGGACTTATTCATTTTGCAAAAATGTGAAGCTGTGGCAACTGCCGTGTGGCTCAGGGCCTCCTGTCTGCCATAAGCCCTTTCCGTGAGGCTGCAGCTGTAAGGGCTCCAGGGGAAATGGGAGACTATAGAGTTTTGCTCAGTGGAGACAGGGTGGCCAGCAGGGCATTGTGAGAAGGGCTGGAGGGCCCTTATTTTGAAATATGTCCAGCCACCTCATCTACACAGGCACTATTTTGAATAGTTATTTCAGAAGAGGCATTATTGCTTGTGGAATGAGGTTTACAAACACTGAAATAAGCTGCCCGTTATTTTGAAATAACAGAATTGCTGTGTAGATACTCCCATAGTTATTTCAGAATAATGGCTGTTATTCCAAAACAACATGGCTGAGTAGACACACGCTGTGCGACCCTCACAGTGTGGGACTTTCCAGAAAAACTTGCCAGCTGTCTACACTGGCCGCTTGAATTTCCGCAAAAGCACTGACGGTCTCATGTAAGATTGTCAGTGCTTTTCCAGAAATACTATGCTGCTCCCGTTCGGGCAAAAGTCTTTTTCCAAAAGACTTTTGCACAAAAGGGCCAGTGTAGACAGCACAGTACTGTTTTCCGCAAAAAAGCCCGATTGCAAAAATGGCTATCGGGGCTTTTTTGCTCAAAAGTGCGTCTAGATTGGCCACGGACGCTTTTCCGCAAAAAGTGCTTTTGCAGAAAAGTGTCCTGCCAATCTAGATGCGCTTTTCCGAAAATGCTTTTAACGGAAAACTTTTCCGTTAAAAGCATTTCCGGAAAATCATGCCAGTCTAGACGTAGCCTTAGGGTAATGTCTACACATCAAAGCTAATTTGGGATATCTCTGGTATCCTGAAATAGCTACCCCACATCTTCACAAATATTTTTTGAAATAACGGGCATGCTATTTCAGCATCCCAGTAACTCTCATTCTACGAGGGTTAAGGGATGACTCAAAACAGCATTTTATTTTGGAATTTGGTTCTGGATAGACAGCGCCAAATTTTGAAATAGTCTATTTCAAAATAAACTCAAAATAAGTACACAATTTGCGTAGCACATATTGCACATCTTATTTTGAGTTTAGAATGCAGTGTAGACATAGCCTTAGTGGGCAGTCACAGAATACCTTACTGACAGAGAAGGCTTCTTTAATCCATGCAACATAAGGATTTGTATACATCATGCATTTTTTATTCTGTCTAATATATCTGATCTGTCCCTATTATCCATAGAGTGTCTAATTCTTTTGGCCTCAAAATGATATATTGAGCCAGGCATTCCAAAGTTCAATTATGTGTTCAGAAAATATTTCTTTCATCAATCTTAACCTTGCTGCTTTTCAGTTTCACTGAATGTCCACATGTTCTTATATTGTAAGAAAGAGTAAAAAGTACTCAATTTGCCTTCTTTGCGCTATGCATTGTTTTATGTACCTCCATGTCCTCTCATGTCACCTTGACTCTCCATTGAACAATTCCCATCATTTCATTTTCTCTTCATAAGAAAGCCCTTCCGTGTCTCTGGAAAATTTTGTAAACCTCATCCATTTTTACTATTTTTCATGACCAGAAGTGAAAACTTGGCTTCACTGAAGACAATGGGAGTTTTGCCATTGACTTTGATTGGAGCTAGGATTTCAGCCAGGGCATCCAGAACTGAAGACAGTGAGCCAGATATTAGCCGGTTTTCTAGCTCTCTTGTGCTTCTCCGGTAGTCCAAGTTGTTTGGACAGATCAGCTCAGGAGTCTGCCTATGTAGAATGTGTGTCAAAATGGAGAGGAAGAGATCTATGTTCTAGTGATTCTTGGATAGTATAAAAGCAAATGTAGTACATTCCTGGAACTCAGCTCAGTCAGACTCAAAGACTGGGGATGGCAGTCTGCATGAAAACATGCCATTGCTTTATGGAAAAGCATTATAATATGTTCAGCATTTTCTGCCTCTTTCCTCATGCATCCTATATCTTTGGGTTGCCAGTAAACATTGGCTGCAGGTTTTCACTGAGCTGTCATTCCAGTCATTATCTTATTAGATGATTTAGAGCCAGTATTCCAATATGCCTGAGCTGGGTGTGTTTGACATCTGAAGCTATCTGAATAGTATTCTGTAGTCCTACAACACACCACCCCAAAGGCTGAGGTTAGCTCACAGCAAAAAAATCATTAAAGATGGGTTTTCTATCCTTGCTTAGGGATGACTTTCTGGATTGGTCATTTTAGAAATTTCAGAGACCTTGTCTCCAAGGGCTAGAACAGCTAGCAACTGCTTTTTATTTGGATCCTGCTGGCCCAGATACAAAGAACTGCCTAACCTTTGCAGTTCAATTTGTTGCTGGGACCAAAGAAGCAAGGAAGAGTTCTCTTCTCAGTCCACCGGATCTTGAAGGACAGCCAAGATTCTTTTCTGACTACATTTTCCATAGCTGCATTTGCAGGTAGAGGGGGGGACCTAAGAACCTGGGATAAGTGTGAAGTTGAAGGAGTCCCGTAGGGCAAGACCCAGGGAAGAAGTCATATTAGTTAACACCACTAGCAAATACCTTGTCTGCAATTCAGTTGTTTCTACTGGAGAATGTAATAAGGCCAGTGGCAGAGATGTGTTATCAGTTTAGTTGTGCAATCTGCAATATAAAAGGCCAACCAGAAGTTAAAGCAGCAGACACCCAAAATGTGATCATCATGGTGTAACTTTGATCCCATGTCTTGATATACCATAACGAACATTAATACTCTTACATGGACAGTCACTAATATCAAAGATAGAGAATTAGAGAGTTAAAATACATCCTTAGTGCGTCCTACAGCATGAAATACACTACAATATCCATCAGCTGCCTGCCTCTGTCAGACTTAATAGTCAAAACAAGGTGGGGATGGTCTGTTTTTGCTCACAAGGAAGGTGTTTTGTGGAATACTTGCTATGCCTACAGGGAACAGAGTGACCACAGCTACCAAACAACAGTAGATGTAATACAACAATCTATATTGCTTCCCTCTAAAGCAAGACTTAGCATGCTACCGACAATACTAGAAGTATTCAATAGGTTTTCTTAGAATTTCTTGGAAAATGTTTTCTTTAAAAAAAATAGAAGAATGGAATATAGGTTTGCTCTTCAGGCTTAACAAACCTGGTACAATATAAATTCACTTTATTCTCACCCAACATATGTCTAATTCAACTAACTATATTATAGGAAATAAAGCTCACAGACTGTGCTGTCAGCTAAAGATGTAGCCATACATGTGCCTCACTAGCACATGGTCAGTAATTAATGTCTGCAGTGGAACCTGGAACCAGCTAGTTGATCCATAGCTGAAAACCCTGAGTGACCAGATCTCCAAATGGCTGAAAGGCATCACCAGGCCTGCTCTTAAGCCCAGCAACAATACCAAGCCAGTGGCTACTCAACACTTACACCAACAGTTGCTTATTCCAGGTTTTCTCTAGTCCTGATATCCTGCTAACTTTCTCACTCTTGGTTTCTAACTCTGACTTTGACCTTTGCTTCTTACTCCTGGCTCCTGAGTCTGGCTTTAGCCACGAGGCTGGAACGAAACTGCATACCAGAAATCCTGTGTCTTTGTCTCCTAGAGCATTGTGAGATAGAAGGGGTTCATCTGAAGGGAACCTTGGCTAGTTTGGCAGCTTCCCCAACAGTGTTGCCAAGTACCAAGACTTTGCCAATTTACTGGTGGAAGCTAACAGTAACATTTTACTGGCTGTGCAGTGTTATCCCAACAAGTGGTCCCCACAGCCAAGTTCAGGCTTGAACCTTTTACTCCCAGACTAATCCCTCTCAGAAAGAAATATCCTGGACTTAGGGTACGTCTACACTAGCCTCCTAGATCAATCTAGGGAGGCTAATGAAGGCGACCAAAATTGCAAATCAAGCCTGGTATTTAAATATCCCACACTTGATTTGCATGTTCCTGGCCGGTTGCCAATTTAGAAATTGACTAGCCCAAAGTAACTGCCCACGTCTATACGTGGCAGTGAAACGGGATTCCAATTTAAAGCCCTAACTCGAATTAGCTGGTATTCCTCCAGCAATGAGGTTTACCAGCTAATTTGATTTAGAGGCTTTAAATCGGCATTCAGACTGCAGGATGTCCTGGAGGGGCATCCTAGACTTCAGGTCTTAAATTATGCCATGACATACTGCTTACTGATCATTTTGGCAAAGTCAAAACTTCAACATCTTTGGGAGAATTTTTGGTGGCTAGTTCTACATGCTTACAAAGACTATGTACAACTCTGTGACATCTGCTCTTGTTCCAGAAACTGTGTCTGAAGTTGCTCAGCTTCCTCCAGCCTTTGCCCATTCCACACCAGCCTGGGTCTACCATGTCTATAAGTTTCATAGTGGAACTACAACACTGTCAAGGACTCATAGTGATCCTGGTGAGGATTCATTTCTAATATAAATGTGGCACATTTTTCTCAGTGTTACACCATTACTGTTGCACTGTTAATAGAACTATCATCCTAGAAAATATACTCTATTACCATTGGATACCAGCCAGCATCGTGTTGAGTTAAGGTCCCAGTTCACCTGTTTTAGATGGGAGTTTATAAATCTTCTTGGCACAGACTCCTTCACTTCATTGCCTATATGCACAAATCAATGGATAAATTTAACAAGCCAACAAGATTCTGGAACAGTATCTTCTTTGTTTGTATGTTTTTAATCACCATCCCACATCTTGGTGCAGAATTTGCCTACAATAATTCAATCCAGTCTTTTATTCACAAAGCAATGGCTTTCATCCTCGTTTTCATCCAGACATACTTAAGAGTTCCCTGGGACCTGCTGCTGTATACTTCATTAGCCATTTGCCCAACTCTAGGAACATTTGAGATCTACTGAAAAGGCTTCTGAGCATCTCACCGATCAATGCTGCCAGGTTGTCTCTAATCTTGCCATAGAGGCAGAGTTTGGTTAATTCCCCAGAATATTAATTCAACTGTTCAAAATTTTGTAATAGGACAACCTAGTAATGTTGAAGCTGGAACTAAGTCTCTAAAGGTCTCTCCTGTATTTCATATCTACCTGTCACGGAGTGTGGGGCAGTCATCGGGTCTTGCACACCCATCTGCAGTCAGATGTGACTTTCAGCCAGCAAGTAGAACAGAAGGTTTATTGGTTCACAGGGACACAGCGTAGCACAGACTTCTTGTTACAAGAACCAGGAACATTCAGTACAATTCATCTTGGAGATAGGAGGGCGGACCCTACCCAGCTCCAGAAGCCAGCTAGACTGGCTTACATACATACATTTTTTTCTGTTATTTGTTTTAATCTAAATGAAATTCAGATCTTTGTATCTTAAGTGTGTAATTCATTCAACCCACATGTGAAGTGGTAGTTCTTTGTGTCATCAAAATAATTTCCATAGCAACTAATTGTGATGCAGCCTATGATTATGATTTAAGATGAGTAAAACAGTTCATTTTCCTTGTTTCACATTGAGCTTTTTAATTTATCTAGATTCTTCCTCCTTTTCAGTCTTAATTTCTTACAGGCATTGATCAGGTATTAATTTAATATTGCTAATCTCAGTCTATTAAAAGGATACTATCAATTTATTTAACTTTTCTGTTCTTTTTCTCAAAACATGAAAATATCCTGGATTCATTCAGCAGAAACTTCTCCCTTTGAATTTTTCCACTCACTGTTTACTCACAATAAGTTGAGTTTATTTGTCTAGACATTGTCCGTGTGAATTTTGCAGTACATTTATGAACAAAAATAATAAAAATAACAATCAGGAATAAAAAGAAGGAAAAGAATGGGCTCGTTGGAATGCAGTAGCCAAGACATTATCACCACCTACCACTTGAGGCATAATTTAATCTGTCAAGGATGAAATAGCAACCCTACAATCAACTTCCTTTGCTTTTGCTGGTTTATTTTTCTGCTTTAACTAAGACGGTTTGTGCTATTAATCTTTCTTGCTCTTTTCACAATGTAATATTTCATGTGTTAATATTTATTCATGTAAAAAGTAACTATGATCAGTTTGATCTGATGTTGATGTTGCCCTGACTAAGGCTGTTTTTCAGGCCATTGGCTTGTTTCTGCCTACCTGCTGCCTTCTTCCTTTCACTTTAAATCCCTTATTTTTTCCCATGTATTCCTTATCAGTACTTTAATTGTAAGCATGCTGTGTGGGTGAGTGACTAATTATATGGGAGGAGCTTTCTAAATATAATGACTCAGCAGTAGGAATTGTGTGCACTTAAACCAGCTCTATCTCCTTATATTTTGGACTCGTTCAATACAGCCAAGTATAATTTCTGCCTATTCAGTCACATCTTCAGTCTTCTAGCAGGAATTTTCTTGGCTTTTTTTGCAAAGTGACAACCCCTTCTGTTAGCAGCATATCCATTATCAAGAAAGATATAAGGCACCCCTATTGTATTCTGACAATACTGATAATGAGATGGGGTCATTACCAGCTTCAATCCTAACGGATAATTACCTGGATGTCCAAGAACAGCTTCTCAGGGCATGTCTACACTAGCCCCCTAGTTCGAACTAGGAAGGCTAATGTAGGCATTCGAAGTTGCAAATGAAGCCCGGGATTTAAATATCCCGGGCTTCATTTGCATTTTCCCGGGCACCGCCATTTTTAAATGTCCCTTAGTCCGATCTCCATGCCCACCGCTACACGCGGCACGGAGTAGGTAATACGAATTAGGATCTCTAATTCAAACTACCGTTACTCCTCGTGGAATTAGGATCTCCTAATTAGGATCTCCTATTTCGAACTACCTACTCCATGCTGCATATAACTGCGGGCACGGAGTTCAGACTAAGGGACATTTAAAAATGGCAGCGCCCGGGAAGATGCAAATGAAGCCCGGGGTATTTAAATCCCGGGCTTCATTTGCAACTTTGAATGCCTACATTTAGCCTTCCTAGTTCGAACTAGGGGGCTAGTGTAGACATACCCTCCATTGGTAGCACTGAGCCCTACCCATAACTGCTGCCCCATGTGCACAAACCGTAGCATGCATGGGGAATAAATACTTATGAAAGTAATTTCAGTAGTGTTTCCAAAACTAGAACATAGTGAGGGCTGAACATTCCTCCATCACTTTCAAAGTGAAGATTTTTTCCAACTGAATTGTTTGAACAATTGAAATGGTAAAATATTCATTTTCAATTGAGGAACTTGCAGAAGATAGCTAAATACTGAAATTTCATTTCAGAAAGGTTATTTCTGAACTTACCATTTTTGTGCCAAGTTTCAATACCCTGTACATTTTCAGAACCCTGAATAACAGGGCTGATAATGGAAACAGTGACACCCTTGTAACTACAGATGTGCGAGCTAGTACTGCAATAATCAGCAGATAATTGCTTTTAGCTTTCCACTCCGTGAATTGGGACAGATGACATTTTTCATTAAAAGAGGAGTTTTGCTGAAAGAAAGTTCATTCCAGGACATATGCGCAGTAATAAACTTACTGCAATCTGCACTGTTATCTGTTTTTTCCCTTTCTTTTTAATCTTGAAGCACCGGCAAGAATGGCAAGACAATGGTCAGAATGCACGGGTTGGCCCATACGTGTGACTCTAACCTGTCCATCAAGCATTCCTCACAAATGTGGATTGTTAATGCTACTCAGGTCTGAATGATGAGCTGACATGAACTAATGTGATGCATCAGACTGAATGGAGAAGAGCTCTGGAGACATCCTGAAGATGCTCTGAGGGCAGTTTCACATCAAGTGCCTGTCTATTGCACTTCAGTGTATGCTCCCTGATGAAAAAAATATATTGGATAAAGTGCAAGGCATTCAAGTCAGACAGTTTGCTATACTAGCTACTGAGTCCAAGTCAATCAATTTAATTTTGAAAACAAAATGCAAAAAAAAAAAAAAAAAAAAAAAAGATTACCAGGACTAGAATATATTATAACCTCAAAATGTTTAACTAAATATTAAATATTCACAATTGTGGGACATATTTTATGCTTTATATTTGCTTCACTGTATTCAGAATGTTGCTAAATCATTCCTTTCCTAATTTTACTTTTTAAAATGTGAACTATTTTAGATCAAATTATATCTGATATTCCTTTTTTGCTTTCAGAATATGGTAAAGAAATAATCATTATATGATTGCTCAGAGTGGGGGAAAAGACTGAAACCATTCCAAGTAAATGAATAGGTGTTAATTTCACATATGACAGCATTCATAATGTGCCCTGTATGCAACAGAAACATATTAATGGTTACTAAGAAAATATAAGTTTAAAATATATAGATTTGCAGGTCAGATTTTCAGCTGCTGTTTCAGTGAGGCTCCATAGAAATGGATGGAACTATGCTAATTTACAAAAGGATAGACTTTGTATTTACACACACACACACACACACACACACACACACACACACACACACACAGGTATGAAACAAAAGACAGAACTATGTAGCACTTTAAAGACTAACAAGATGGTTTATTAGATGATGAGCTTTCGTGGGCCGGACCCACTTCCTCAGATCAAAAAACCATCTGATCTGTTTTTTTGATCTGAGGAAGTGGGTCTGGCCCACGAAAGCTCATCATCTAATAAACCATCTTGTTAGTCTTTAAAGTGCTACATTGTCCTGCATTTTGCTTTGGTATATATGGTTGTGCCAATTTTCTTCCACATATTGTTCTGAGGAAGTGGGTCTGGCCCACGAAAGCTCATCATCTAATAAACCATCTTGTTAGTCTTTAAAGTGCTACATAGTTCTGTCTTTTGTTTCAGCTACACCAGACTAATACGGCTGCATCTCTATCACTATTCTACACACAGGTATGTACATTAATAATTTTGTTCATGTGAGAAATGTCATTGAGATCAGGGTCAAAAAGTATAATCTAGTACATATCAAATTATATGCAGTATTTCTTGAAAATGTATCTTGGTCTCTTCTTTTATTTCCCATTTTGCTTCTGCACAGAATTGTGTGTGTGTGTGTGTGTGTGTGTGTCTGTGTGTGTGTGTGAGAGAGAGAGAGAGAGAGAGAGAGATCCTTCAGTTGATATCAAAACAAGAGGAAAATATATTTCTGGATTTTCCTCATTTATGGTCACTCAGAGTAAAATAGGATTGCAATCACTGTGGAGTTTGGGGCCTATCTGAAAAAAAGGTACTTGCAGTCATCAAGGTTTATCATCCAAGGCTCAACAATTTTACAGATGAGTTAGTTCTTGCACTCTGGCTAACCAACATAAAGGCAATAAGCAGAAAGTTTTCTATGTTACATGAGAAATCAAGCTGACCTGGTTTACTGTTACTTTGATTTAGCAATATATGTATCTGGGGTATGTGTGTCTCAATATATGAAGGTTTTACTTTTTTTCTGATGTCCAATTTGGGTGGGAAAGATTTTTTAAAAAGCATGAAGTGGAGATATGTTAGACTGTCCACCAGTCAACATGCAATTCATTAATAGATGACTCTTGTTTACGTACTATTATGTGGAACTGGAAGTAAGCCAACAAAATAAAAGTGAGGGGCAGATTATTGATTCTTTGACATAATTCATAGATTCTGAGGCCAGAACACACCATTGTGATAATTCTAGTCAGACCTCCAGTATAACACAAGCTATAGAACTTCCTCAAAATAATTCCTAGAGTATCCAAGATTATCCAAGTATGTTTTAAAAGCTATTTTTAACAGCAGAGGTTTTTTTAAACAATTTTCTCTGACTATCAACAAAGGAAAAAAGTAAAGTGGTCAGTTATAAGATACAGAAGATGAATAAAATCTAGTTAATTGGAATATGGAGAGAAGTCATGGTGCCCAATAGAAACTGTAATTAACAAACAAAACAAACCTCCCCCCCCCCCCCCCCCATTTAGTTTATTGACATCAAAGGCACTATAACATCAGTATTTACATATTTGGGCCCAAGAATTCCAGTCAGCTTGCTATTACTACAGCTTGGGAATTAAGTCAGAGCTGGCTAATGAGGAATACCATATGCTTGAATCAGATCCTATTAACATGAGCTTCCCTGGGTAAGACCCACTTCATCAGATGATTTGGAGGTCTATATAATTTTGTTAGTGTCTGCCACAAGACTACTTATTTTAAGTTACAGACTAACATGGCTACCCCTCCGAGGGTATGTCTACACTTGCTCCTTAGTTCGAGCTAGGGATGCAAATGTAGGTGACCAAAATTGCTAATGAAGCGGGGATTTAAATATCCCATCATTCATGAGCATGATCTTCCAAGCGCGTTACTCCATTCAACAGCTGATTCGAACCAGGAAGTGTGCGCTGGGCTGCGTTAGTTCG